GGGACGAGTTCAGCAAGATGGTGCAGCAGCAGCAGCCCCCGGGGCCCTAGGAGGGGCTCCCGGCCCCGCTGCTAATAAAGGGTTTTTTTCTATTTTTTTTTTTAATTATTATTTTTTTGCATTGTTTTGGGGTCTTTTGGGATGGTGCACGGAGGGGAGGGGGGGAAAGGCAGGGGTTGTGCCTGAAAATGCTGCAATGGATGGGACTGGAGAGGGAATCGGGTGATGCTGAGGTGGGGGGGTTGGAGGTGCTGGTGGTTCCCCAGCCCCAGCATGTGAATCCCATCACTCCCATCTTCTCCCCACCATCGTTTATCTCCTCCACCGGGGCAGCTGGAGCTCAGCTCCCCCAGCCAAGGCTCCAGCTGCCCTGACTTGCCCCAGCAATGATTGACTAGCCCGGGGGGGCCGCTCCCAGCCTCCGCCCCGTGGACCTTGGAGCCGGGGCCTGGTCATGCTGTGGTTCCTCTCCACTGGAAATGTTTTCTCTGGGGTCCTGGTTGCCACCGTTGCCCGGGCTGGCCTGGGGCTGGGCCCTGCTGGATGCGCTCCTGCAAGGTGAGAGCCCTGGGGTGGCACGGGGACAGCCTGGGGGGACACCAGTGACCCGCTGCTACCTCTTTCCCCACAGGGTTGGTGGGTGCCTGTGCTGTCTCTGTGCTCTGCAGCCTCCTGAAGGTTTATCTCTACACCCAGTGCCTGAAGTAAGCACCGGCCCTTCTGCCCCCCCACCCCGGGAGGATGGCTTTTTGGGAATCTCCTTTTGGGATCTCCTTTCTGGGGATCTCCTTTTGGGACCTGCTTTTGGAACTGGCCCAGGCTGCCCAGGGCAGGGGTGCAGTCCCCATCCCTGGAGGGGTTTCAGAGCCGTGTAGATGTGGTGCTGAGGGACGTGGGGCAGTGGTGGCCTTGGCAGGGCTGGGGGAAAGGTTGGACTGGATGAGCTTTAAGGTCTTTTCCAACCAAAACAATCTCATGATCCAGTGTGGGGAGGGCTGCTCTCAGCACCCATGGGTGCTGGTGGTGACCTGAGCAGGACAGGCTGCACCCCCCTGTCCCCACTGGAAAGCGTGGGGATTGGAGTGGGGGGTCTCAGGGGCTGTCACCCCGCTTTGGGTTGGTGGAGGAGGACAGGGACATGGTGTGCATCCGAGGTGTCCCCCTGTGCCCGCAGTGACCCGGAGAGGCAGGCGGAGGCGGGGGCCCTGCGGGCGCAGCGGCGGGGGCTGGAGCTGCTGCGGGTGCTCGTGCTGATGGGGGTCTTGGCCATGGTGGGACCCCGGGTGGCCGCGCTGGTGGTGCTGGAGTTCTCCCTGCGCGCCGTCTCCACCCTCCTCTCCCTCGGCAAGGTGAGACTGGACGAGGGGGGGAAACTGAGGCACGGCGGGGCGGTGTGTGTGTGTGGGGGACACTGCATCCCCAGGCAAGTTTGCAGCAGGCGCGGGGGCTGCGGGGAGGAGACTGTGCCTGGCTCTGCAGCCGCGCATCCATCCCCTTGTGTCTGCAACACCCCTGGGGAGGACGGGGGGGGCAGCGTGGAGAGGACACGCAAGGCTTTGCAACCACACCTCCCCTGGTAGCGCTGCAGCGCCTGCAGGGACGGTGAGGGCTGTCGCACCCCCCAAATAATGCATCCCCCTGCTTGCAGCACCCGTGGGGCATGGAGGAGGTGATGCATCCCCCTGCTGCGGGGACAGGGGGGTGGCTGGCACGCAGAAAACCACGCGTGGTTTGGCACGATGCCCTTGCAGCGCCCGTGGGGGTGTGGGGAGGCTGCAGCGGGGAGGGAGCCGTGCGTGGCTTTGCAGCCGGTTATCCCCTTGTTCCTCCAGCGCCCAGGGGGCTACAGAGAGGCTGCAGCGACGGGGGAGTCGTGCGTG